CGAACCGCCAAAATATAGAGGAACAGATGAGGAAATAGACCTGAAGTAAGTTCCTTCTTTAGCAACACTCATCTCATATGAACAATGTTTCAATTTATGCTAAAACACTCATTCCTGTCTCACCGTAAGTTAAATGAATAGGACAGCTGCGAAGAATCGATCACTGTTAACATGAACATTTGCGCATTATTCCAACCATACTTTTGTTATCAGTGTTACAAGAAGGAAGCGGAATGTTTGCATTAACGATGGCCTGTTATTTGTCTTTTTTAATTGTGTAGCCAATTTTCTTCCACAGAAAAAAANAAAAAAAAAACGATTGAATAAGAAAAGCAATCTGTTAGTATCCAATATCAATGAATGGTAATAGGTACCAAATGGCAGTGAATGTGTATACTGTGTATATATACCTAGTTGATAATACATCACACTTTCACACTTTATTGAAAAATGTCAGTCGAACTGCTTTAGCTCAGATAGCTAATTATTTTTCATGAAACGAAAACCTTTCGTAGCGAATAATTTCTTCTCTATTGAGAAAATAATTTTAAAGAACAGCTCTCGAGACAATGACCGTTTCTAAGTTGGCGATGCTTAATAATGGATGAAATCCTTGTCTCCAAAACGATACACATTATAAACAGAAAGAAATTTATCCTTTCTGGGATTTACAAAATTTATTTCATTATTTCTTCACAAGTTAACAGCTGTTAAGAGATATGCATGTTTATATTATTAGTGCCCATAAAGCGTCGTCTATGTAAAGTGCATAGCAGAAACTTTATACACTACTAAACATAACTTTTACACTTTATCTTTTAAGTATGAAATTCGTAAACAAAACAGGTTTGACTCTTTTCCAATCCTTACTTCAAAAAGATTACTTTGACAATCCACTATTGAGCCAATATCAAATTTTATCCTTAAAGAGAAAAAAATATTTCTTTGTTACCATATTTTCTTTCTAAAATGATCCTGAATTGATCAAAAAAAAAAAAGAAACAAAAGATGCTGTACTTGCGGATTTGTTTAATAGATGATGATGAAATTGCTCTGAGATCAAATGAAATGCTCAAACCTAAAATTTAGTTAAACTCTCAAAATTTGGGAGTTCAACTCGCTGGTTTTAATCACTCATTTTTTTAGTTAATCATTTATTCATTTAATTAGAGAGGATTTGATAAAATTTGCATATTTTTAGACTATTTAAATGCTTTAATGCAGTAAAAAAACTGGTAGTATTGATGCTCAGGAAATAAAATAATTTTTGATTGGAATAGTAAAAGACTAGCTCCTAAAATTATACTTATTGGCATTTCATCGTTTCATTTTACCTGGCAAATAATGTTATATTCGCAATGCTTGAAATTAAACGTTTTTTGATTCAATAAAATTTTTTATATGAGTTAAATATTTTAGACAGAGATAATGATTAAAAGTTTGAAAACAAATGGCGAAAAAGAAATAGACAAAAACACGTACCAATGAGGAGTGAAAATTGTCAAATGCTTACTGCTTATTCAATACCGATTAATAAGAACTTAAGGCGATGCTCAATTAATAATGGTTGCATGCAAAAAGCGCATTTGGAAGATATTTACCAAATAAGTTACACAATAAATGCAAACGGACATTATCATTAACTTTATCACTTGTTAACACTATTAACAAAAAGACTGTTCGACTAGGGTTTTGCATGTGAATTCCTCTTATCTCCCAATGGTAATTCCAACTTTAAGTAACTTGTCTTGTCTATGTGGGTAAATAAAATGTCCTACTCTTCATTTCAAGCGTAATGAAAAATTGAACTAGGCTCATTCGTTATTACTATATCATTTTCAAATATTATCGCCGGGAAGTAGTCGATGTTGTTAATGAGGAAAACACAGGGGATATATTTTTGAATACATTTGACTATATTTAATTTGAAGGGAAGTGTGACACTTAATATTATTGAGTCTCGAGAAATATTCACTCTCTGGTATACACTCATTTTAAGAGTGGTAGTATAAGGAAATCGGTTTTCAAGATTATTAAATATTTGTCGCTAGACAGATGATGGTTAAAAGGACCAAAAGCAACTCCTACGACGACCTAATTTGTCTTGCCCCTGATGGTGAAAACCAAACTACCGGTTAAATGCAAAAAATACTGGATATCATTCACCAGAGAGCAACATTTGACAGATATTAATTTCCGTAAAATACGAAATGAACCATGAATAATTTTTACACTGTTGCACTGTTACGTTATCATCCAAGAAATAACTCATAGCCGGGTTTCAGATAACGATCTGTCTCGTATTTTGTAATACATTTAATAAATGCATGTTATTCTACGTTTAAGGGACTGGTGATAGAAAGAGATATTAAAGCCATTTTTCAAAGCTTTAAATAACTAGAATTAACTTTTATTCTGATCATGTGTCATTGTACCCACTTGCAAGGAGAAAGAAAAAGTATTGTTTTTTATATTGTTTTTCAACAGATAACAAACATACGAACAAAACGATTAAATGGAACAGTCTACCAGCTTAGAATCTTGAAGGGAAGAACATTGATAAGGCTAACAGTACTAGTATAACAGTACTTATTGGTTTTCCAAATTGATAAAAATTCAATTAATGGGATTATTAACATTTATTGATGCTATGATTTCCGAATATATGCTAAAGATGCAAACGTAGTTTTACATCCTTGTTTTTTTAAAGTTTTACAGATCCAGTTACTCGGTCATGCAGGGGTCACGAGCAGTGTAGTAGGAAGACTTCTTTATGGAAGTACATTGATGAGTAGAAAGACTAAGAGTTCCGACCATGCATTTTTGATTAGAAGAAAAAAATTAAAATTTGGGGAGGTGCAAAACTTATTTGCTTGCTCATCACAGTTTCAAGGATCGATTTGGATTGGTCAAAGTTGCAACTGATAGGAAACAATTCGACCGACTCCTAAATTAACATCCAACTGATGACAGCTTGCAGATGTTTTCGCGAACACCATATCATATTAAGCAATTCTTGGACGTATGAGAAATGGTGCATACATTTTATTGTACTTTTAAAAATATGCATGAATAATTTTTGGAAAAAAAGCAAACCGGTTTGAAGTGCAAACAATTCAAAGCAACAAAGCTAGCTGACTATGCCAGTGATATGACCAACAAGTAAGCCATTGAATAACAAACTTTTGACTTACTTAACTCTAATTTCAAAACTTTCTCTGTGAGAAATGATAAGCAATCTGTTATTTCAATAAACGTTACTCAACCGAATTGTAAATATCATTTCAGAATTGTCGGAATGAGAGGGGGGAAAGTTCAGCACGGTCATTTCCAAAAATGTAAACAAATAGTAAGCACTAAGAACAACAACGGAGATCTAAAGCACTGAAAAACAAGAACAAAACAAAGTGGAAACGGACAGAACAACGAAAGACTGTATGGAAAATGACCAGGCTGCATGTTGCATACCATTTTCAGTGCCTACTATTATTACTGTTAGTTACCAAGTTGTGACAGTAAAATAGTACAGACATGATCCCCACCCCGCTATCACATCACATTTGATCTTTCCATATTTTCAAAGTTGAAAAGACTTAAGCTAATCACCAGGAAGTCGATGATTTTCAAAACATAGCAGTTAACTCGGTGAAAACTAAACCATTATGAACGGTAATTTTCCCACTGATTCATATAACATTAACGACAACTGAAACAGTAAATTTATACATATATATATATATATATATATATATATATATACT